TTAAATGATATTATAAAATATTGTTGGTATATAATATTATAGTTAGTTAGGTTATAATAATTTGGCTTTTTTTAGCGGATTAGGATTTTCCGCCAATTCGATATTTTAGTGGCCAAATTTTCATCGATTTAGTCAACTCTTTATTGTAGTCCATATATGATTATATAATTAATCCATGATAATTCTATGATTTCTTTTATGTGATGTAAATTTAATGATCAGCATAAGTTCATACAAGGAAAGAGTATCTCAATATTAAAAAATTGATGAAAAAAATAAAAGTTAATAGTGTAGTACCCTCATTTCTTATTAGATTCCTAAAAAACAATATTTATAATGAATTTTAATAAGTTTTTCGGATTTTTTTGAAGCTTTAATCCGACTGATTCAGTCGATTCCCGATCCAGATCGCCGATTCACCGATTCGGATCGGTTTTTAAGGTGCCCGATCTGAGTCACCGATCCGCTTTTTAAACCATTGGTTATAATGTATATAACCAACATGGACAGGAATAAGGCCTATTAATTACATACTTGATACACAGTGAAACAACAAAAAATAAATTTGTTATAAGGAGAAGATAAATGAAAGATATCTTCAGAAATATAAGAGTATTCACATAATACTAGAATCATAATTATGATAAAAAGATTTTCGAAACATAAGTTTCCAAATTAATCTTTCCAAGTTCCCTTGGCCAATAGACACTAGGAAGTTGTGAAACACTTATCCTAACATTCTCGAAATGACTTATGTACTTACATTCTCACAAATCACAAGTACAGCTTAACTCAGTATAGTCCACCAAAGCTCTCTCTATAGATCAAACCATAGACTACCACTTTTAAGCCTCAAAATATCCATCTGTAACTTTGTCCTCGATTCAAGCTGGGTAAAACATGGTTTGTGGACAAAGTCCAAAGCAAGAATCTGTTTCCACATAAATTGTGTTTATATAAACTACATATTATATCTTGTAAATGAATATATCTAATAAGATGTAAATGTCAAAGTGCAATGTGACTAACCTCTAGATGCTATGAAAGAAATAGTTTACACCCTTCCATCCATGCCATCAAGAAGGCCTGACCATAGCCCCTTGACTCGTGGTAGCTGGGCTACAAATGCACTCCAAGGAGGGTAGCCAACACCACTCCCTCTTACACGACCATCCATTCGAAGGGAGATGTACCTTCAATCAGGAATTAGAACATAAGGGTACTTCACATCAGGAGACCCTAAGACATAAAACCTTGAATATGAATTCTGAAAAAGGCTTTCAATACATGAATGCGCCTCTGAACCTTACAATATTTAATGGCCTGGAGCAGACCATATTCATATAATATAGTCTTCTTGGTGCTGGAATATAAATCAAGAGTTGGCAGTTGCATGCAAGTGACAAAATGGCGACTCCATGATGCTTACTTGAGCAGGAACAATGAATATATCATAGTTGGAAGTTCCAAGAAGCTCATGAGAAATTAAAGTTCGTGACAGAGAAATGAATCTTGTGAGTTAATTACAACTGTCAAAATTGACTCGTCATGATTCTTGACTCTTGATCCAACCATGAGAATATAGAAGAATGATGGACAGACAGTACGTGCTTATTTATGGATGATGCACAGGCAAGGCTTGACTGGTTAAGGGGGTTCACATGGCAAACTACGTGCCAAGTTCGAACCCTACAGCTGAACTATCAAAGAAGAAAAAGATAAAAGAATACCACATGACCAAACTTACACTGGTGCTTCTTTGGCAACCTTAGCCAATTCCTTCTGATCATCTAACCACCTGCAAACACAGAGCAACCACAGTTAACAAAAGAAGCAATCAGACCAAATCGATATGAAAATGTTCATTTTTTAACTTCTCATTCCTCACTTGAACCATTCATTAGGGAACATGGGAAACAACTGCCACAGCTTCTTCTTTTTCTCATCTGGAATCTCCTCCTCAACATCCTCAACTTCAAAGTTACTACCCCCATCAGTTACAATAGGCACAACCCTTACTCCACGTTCAAGAAGACTATCTGCATAGGGTTCACTCAGTTTGATGGATTCCTTAATGAAAGAGGCAGGTCCAGAAAGTATCACAAGGCGTGCAAAGCCCCTCAAATCACCTACTGTGATGACCTTTTGATCCACTCTCATCTTAAGATTTGAGAGGCTTTCCTCTCTTGACAGTCTAGCAAGCTGCGCATTTTTGGCACTAAGCTCTCTTGAGTACAGAAATACAAATAAAGCGATTGCTCCCAAGTCTACTCCAAGACTTTTCAAGATCTCAGGAACTTGGTCCGCTTTTGATGCATTTGTCAGTGCAGAGATTAACTGAGTGGTGGCTATTAATCCACCAAGAGAACCACTTGCTATAAAAGCAAGATAGAAAAACATTCTTACTGTGCGAAAGGGAGAAAGAACTTCGCTTCGAATTTTGGCTGCAGAACTGAAGAAACAAATGCAGTCAGGATTACAGAAAAACCAGGTTCATAATGCAAAACCCAAAGATTGCAAAGTCATAGAAAGATAAGAAGGTGGGAGTTCGTAACATTTAATAGCTTCTTACTACTATATCAAATGGTTCCATACATAACATGAAAGAGTTTAAATTCTAGCCTTTTAAAAACACATTTGATTTATAAGCTCATGCGAAACCAAGAACCATTGAGGTGAAGAAATAAGACGGACACATTCTTATTTGCACGGGGTTGAACCATCATCTCTTCACTAGCATTTGGTGCAGCGTAAATAGTTCCTTATTTCCATCTATGAATATAATATGGGAACTGGTCACTTACAAGTGATAAAGGCAGACAACATTGCTTCCACCTTTGGTCATCAGACACATTCATTGTCTTAATCACAAGTTTTTACTAAATCCATTTCTTTCCATCTCTTCTAACATCAAGGACATAAATAAACAAGAACATATGGCTATTAACCACCGAAACAAGGACTATAAATTAATTTTCTATCAGTAGAGTTACAGTGTGAAGGGAAACAAACCTGAATTATTTCAAACACCAGAATGTCTATATTGTTAAGACTCTGACCTCCTACAAAACTCAAATCCCAATTTCCTACAAGTCAGAATTGAACACTTACATTACAATTTTCTCACATGTATAAAAGCAGAATAGGCTACAGAAAAATCTAGGACTGCCAAATCCCTGAAATTTCAATTCGAGAGTGTCTTCAATAGTTTTAACAAGTCAAATCTTCTCCTTGTTTGTGGGTTGAAGATTGGTCTTAGGCGTTTATGTCCATAAGAACCACACTTGTTGGCCGAAATACTTCCCAGGTGTGTGAGAACTCTACTTTCCTATCTGTAGAGATCAATCATTTCATGCCTTAATTAAACATGTTGCCATGATATTCCTATTATCACTTCATTTGAGAGAAGGCACCATTAAGATATATTACCAAATCCTTTTGACATCATACTGCGACATTGCACCGTTGGGCAGCAATTAGTTTTACTCGACAAACTTCAATTGCAAAATACGAATTTGATTTAGGGAATGTGGAAAACTAGGGTAACTGCTGAATCATCTTGTTATATGCTTTTCTATTGTAATGTTTTATTTATAAAAGGCCTTATTGTACATGAGTTGGTATTCAATCACCACACAGTTGATCTACAAAGTCCAAAATCTATACATGACCATCATAGCCAAGACCATAGTCGATTAATACCAACCCTAGTTAAATCCTTGTGAAATACCCTTGATCTACAGTGAATCAATTACAAGATACAAACGTATGTACACAAACCAAATTTGATTAACATCTTCTAATTATCAAAGAGAGAATTGATGAAACGAAAAGGATAATAGGAGCGGGACTACAATACATTTCACATATATTGTCAGGATATATTATCAATTATAATTGTCCTGAATACAACTCAGATTAAAATATCCTACAACCCGAAAACCATTTTCCATAAAGGAAAAGTCAAAGTCGATTAAAACAACTATATTCTTGCAAAGAACAGAGACATAAATTGTCGATTAGAATTGTCCTGAATATAACTCAGATTGAAGTGTTCTAGAAGTAAAACCACCGCCCCTAAAACCATTTTCCATAAAGGGATAGTCACAGTTGATTAAAACAACTAAATCCTTGGAACGAACATAGAAGAATTCTTTTTTTTTTTTTTTTTGAACTAAGAACAGAGAAAAATTTAAAGTTAAACATCAGATTCTTCAATAGAATCCCATTTTATTGGGTAAATAGAAATATAAATTAAATATAGAAAAACAACTAGTTCAACATTAAAAGAGGCTCTAAGTTGATGAGCCATTTGAATCCTAGCAAGGAAAGAAACAAAAGCCAACAAAACAACTACAAATTCTAATAGAAAACCAAACAAAGACATAAACTCATGCCACACCCTTCCAAATTAAACATTATAGTTTTAGTCCAATCAATTTAATACATAACCCAATTAACTTCAAAAGAGAAAACAGCCAAATTCAAAGAATAAAGCATGCTTCAAATTTCAAATAAAGAAACCCATATGAGGGGAAACGGTTCATACCTTATCTCAGCTGAAGAGGGTTTGGTACCAGTAGAGCAAGTAACTCTCAGGCATTGTTTTCTGGTAGTTTTAGAGAGAGAAAATTTTGCCAATGAATATATGGGGTGGAAATGTTTTGAGCTTGGTGCAGGAGAATATGGAGGATATCTGAACAAGAGTATATGTGCCATAGCCATGGCCATACAATAAATGGGAGCTGTGAAATTTGTTTATTGCATGGGAAATTGATGAATTCTTATGAATGAAATGGCCTCAATATATGCTTGCTCACAAGAGGTGTCATGGGTGGATATACTAAAAATACAGCCACCCAATCATGTTTTGGACGTTTACGTGGTAATAGCAAAAATACCGATGCAAATGAAGGGGAAAGGAACCCCTTTAGGCTGTGTTTGTTTTGTGGAAGTTTTAGCGTTGGAAGTTTCACTTCCAAAGTCGCGCCTTCTAGGGAGCATTGAAGCCGCAAATTCTACTAAAGCCTCGCTTCGTAACCTTATTTGAAACATTGTTAGTATGAAAAATCCGTACGAGGGCTCTAAAATCTATTCTGCAGCTTGAAAAATAATATAGATCTCGTGGATTTGTGAGCACTTGAAATGGACAGTCAAATATAAATTGAGTTTCGAACTTCCGAAAGCAATAAGTTTGGAAATTTGGCTATCGGAGCTGAAACCTCCATGAAACAAACCTATCTTGAGGTTCTGGAGGCACATGAACCATGAGACTCGTCCTTTTTAAAACTCCGTCTCACCGAGTTCATTACAGTAAACCGGGTCATTTTATTGGACTTTGGGAGATTCCTAATGAAATTTATCCTTTGTTTTGAATAATCGCTTGAGCATTTCAAAATATGTTTTTTTGCCCTATTACCTCTGAAATATCAGGTGTTGGGAAACCTTTATACCGGGGACCAGGCACATATAAAACATACCTGGATATTACTCCCTTCAGATTTAAATAGCCGGGTAGGATAGCTTCATTCATATTTGTTTGTAAGGGAAAATTACGTATATATTCGTTATAATTTATGTTATTATAAAACTATCGAATAGTTTTCGTTATTATCTCTTTGTCTATTTTTTTCATGTCATAACGAAAATTTTAAAAAAGATAATTTTACCTTTTTTCGGTTGTTGAACAACTGAATTCAATCGATTTTTTGTTGTTCAAAAACCAAAATTAGGCCAATTTCGGTTTTTGAAAAACCAAAAATTTTAAATTTTCTGTTTTTCCAGAACCGAAAATTTTAAATTTTCGATTTTTCAAGAATCAAAAATTTTAAATTTTTTTCGTAGGTACTCCTATTTTTCGGTTGTTGAATAACCGAATTCAATGGATTTTCGACTGTTGAACAACCGAATTCAATGGATTTTCAGTTGTTCAATAACTGAAATCCTCTATACCCGTCTTTTTCTTTTAAACTCTTCCAAATGTTTATCCACGTAGATTAGTCATTAGAGAGAGAATGGATATTTAAACCTTAAGGTATAGAGAGAGAATGGATAAATGTTTCAACCCACATAGGAGAGAGAATGGATAAACGTTTAAACCCACCCAATATAAGGTATAGAGAGAGAATGGATACACATAGGAGAGAGAGAATGTAATCCATTCTCACACTATACCTTATATAAGGGAAAAGATGGGTAAAATGTGGGTGAAGAAATAGGAGAGAAAATGGATAAATGTTTAAACTCACATAGGAGCGAGAATGGATAAATGTTTAAACCCACCAATATAAAGTATAGAGAGAGATTGGATAAACACATGAGAGAGAATGTTATTCATTCTCACTCTATACCTTACATAAGGGAAAAGACGGGTAAAGCGTGGGTGAAGAAGGGTATAGAGAATTTCGGCTGTTGAACAACCAAAATCCAATCCATTAAATTCGGTTGTTCAACAATCGAAAAAAAAGGAGAACCTACAGAAAAAAATTTCGGTTCTTGAAGAACCAAAAATTTAAAATTTTCGGTACTTCAACCTTAAATTCAAAATTTTCGGTACTTCAACCGAAATTTTGAATTTTCGATTTTTCAAAAACCAAAATTGGCCTGATTTCGGTTGTTGAACAACCAAAAATCAATTGAATTCAGTTGTTCAACAACCGAAAAATGATAAAATTATCTCTTTTTTAAATTTTGGTTATGACATAAAAAACGGACAGATAGATAATAACGAAAATTATTTAGTAATTTGATAATAATGCAAATTATAAGAGATATGTACATAATTTTCCCTTAAGATAATGAATGAAAGTACAATAGATACGTACGAAAAGAGCAGAAATAAAGGGCAAAGAGAAAGAAGAGGAGAGAGAGAAGGGGAAAGAGGAGAGGACTAACAGAAGCGCAAAAGCTTAAAGAAGAGAGCCCTCTTTTACAAGCTTGTCGGCATCAAAGTTCTTCAACATGAAGATGTGTAAAAAAGTTACCTCTCTATCATAAAGAGCATAAACGATGACATCCATAGAGGAGGTCAGTAAAGAGCATAAACGATGACATCCATAGAGGAGGTCAGCGCCAAGGGACTGTTGCAGGGGCTTTGCACTAAGAAATGACGTTATCAGAGTTACCTTTTATTATCAGCTTAGAATGATGGGGCGTGTAGTTTTTGCCCACCTTTTTGAAAATTAAGTTTAAGTCAACCAGCAGGAGGTGGAGTCCAGGAAGACGACCGAGAGCCTCTTCTCCTCCTAAAGAATAGCCATTCTTTGAAATGCAAAAATAAAAACTTTTTTTTTACTGAAGAAAAGGGGGAGTATACTCTGGCCCAAGTGGTAACCAAGGCTTGAATGATCTAAATCAAGGTAGCCACATCACGACATTTACCTTCAAAAGATCTCAGGTTCTTTTCTTTCTAGAGTGACCAAATAACAACAGCCAGTAGGATCCTCCATAAAATAAGCCTCGTCTCGGAGAAAATGGGAGACCAAATTTGATATAAAACGTTAACAGCTTGATTGGGAATCCAAAGCCAAGTAGATAACCTTTTTACCCAATTCTAGACCTATGAAGCGTATGGGCAGTGAAGGACAATATAATCAAGTGTTTCCCCTTCATTTTTGCAGAAAATGCAGCCTAAGGCAAGCACCATCCCCCTTCCCTGCAGTTGATCAATTGCGAGTGGTCGTCGCAGACGAACAAGCCATAAAAAACCACGCACTCTATGGGGTGCCTTGCAAGACCAGAATCTCTAAACTTCCAAGTCCACTTCGATGAACCTGTCATGACTCAAAATATCATAAAGGGAAGAAATTGTGAAGTGGCCCTTAGGTTCTAGTGTCCAGAGAACCCTATTAGGTCTTCCCGAAAAATAGAAGAAGTTGTATAGAAGACCCATAAGGGTAATGAATTCTTGCTCAACAAGAACCTCAACCCTCCTGACATCAAGGGAGATATCCCACAGGGTGCTTCCTCCATTAAAAGAGACCATAGAGAGAACTTAGGCTGATTTCTACGCAGATTTCTACACTGACCTCCTATATAGATGGGGAAACAGCAGATATAGGGGATAATGCTGCAACTATTTGCTATGCCAAAAGCTTGTCGTTGTGCCATTCCCTACAGAACCTTAGAATAAGTAAGGAACATGATTCTAACAGAGAATACCTTTCCAGACCTTAAAGGCAGGAAACCTTGGGGGTTGTCTCCCTATGGGCCAAAAGGGGTCTCGTCCATACTTCTCAAGAACCACTATCTCCCAAAGCTGGTCTTGATGCCGAGAAAGTATCCACCACCATTTCGTAAGGAGTGCCTCATTGATAGCTGAGATTCTCCTTATTCCCAATCTCCATATGGGCCATTTTGTAAGGAGTGCTTCATTTCGTGAGGATAACTTCAATCATAATGTCGCAAGTCAGCCTCTAAGCATGTGATCTTCACGGACTACTTATAGTATTTGATTTTTATTTTAATTTTATGAATTATTTTGATAAAAAATAGGTTTTGCACGCTTCTCATAAAGTGCACCTAATAAAATAACAAAAAAGTATTTACGACAAAATGATCGAGCCAAATCAACCATTTGACTTTCAAGGGTAATTTGGTCATTTAATTTATAAGAAATCTTTGTTATTGTTTCATGTTAGGTGCGCTAAGGAGAACACATGCCTCCAATTTTATGTTATGATGATTTATAAAAGAGACTATAAAATAAAATAGGAAAAGTATAGACTGATATCATTTACCATTGATACAAGATGGTCACATTAATCTTGACCATTGGATGTGAAATTGGATGGCTGCAATTATTCCATTGACCAAGCTCAAACTTTAAAAGAAATTGTCTCGAACTTTATAACGCATCCAAACTATCAAATTTCATATCAAATAGTTGTAAGGAATTGTGACCACCTTATACTAAAGATAAATGATCTCATTATATACAATCCCAATAAACTAATGCTAACCGTCTATTCATATCATACGGCCAATTATAACAATCACATGTACTTTATATGCCGTTTGCACTATGTGTAGTTGTGACTAAAAAAGATTTAAGACTTGTCATGTCCAAACAATCCATTAATATGAATTCTCAGGGTATCAACTATTCTCAAGGAAAGTTTAATGAAAAATTTTATTTTTCTAGGAAATGAATTTTGTGTATAAAGATTAAATAAAGGACGCACATGATATACTCTTGTAGGAATTTGTTTTACATAAACTCCTTCATGCCAAAGCTCCTACCTAGGAGGATGATTTATTTATTTGAAAGAGTGGTTTTCCTTCATGCCAAAGCTCCTACCTAGGAGGATGATTTATTTATTTGAAAGAGTGGTTTTTGGGCATGTCCACCCGGACTTGGACTCAGACTCGGTTTGGAGGCAAGTTGGGGGCAATTTGCGACCACTAAGAAAATGGTTAAAAAATAGAAAAAAAATAAGTAAAAAAAAATATATATTGATTACAATATGATTTTTAGATGATTTTGATAGGTTTTAAGATAAGATTAAACTTTTTTTTTTTTTTTTTTTTTTTCTTCAATTTTCTGAAATGTTCAAGGTATAAATCAATTTTTTCAATAGTCCTATATAGACTGTTTGAAACTCAACTTTGATGAGAGTTCATTGAAGAATCCTGATCCTGCAGGATTTGGTGGACGGATTAGGTATCATAGAGGCAGTACTATTATCTTTTATTGAGAACCTTGTGGAACTGCTACAGTAAATGAGGCAGAGTCTAAAGGGTTGTTAGAGGGCTTAAGGCTTTTATCGAACTTGCGTGGTCATAAAATTGTGGAGGGGGATTCGTCAAATGCCATTGCAACTTCAATTTTCCTGGAAATAGGTGATTTGCTATCAAATTCATATGTGGATCTTTGTCATTGTTTTACAGAAGCTATATGAAGCGGATTCTTTAGCTAAAAGTGGGGTACACCAATCACCATTCGTGGTGACTACCTTTAACTACTCTTTTT